TGCCCAGTTCAAATTTCAAAATATATTTTGTTACACGCTTCTAAATGGCCTCGAGCCGTTCTACTTGATTCCGTTGGTATGGAAACCAGACAGACAAAAGTAAACTGTTATACAATGAGATAAATACTTTTGAAGTGGATTCACGTGCAATATGAAACACGAGTCCAAGAATTCTTTTCCCTTTATTGACATGTTCGTTCCATGATAATTTACTCTCGATGATAAACCCTAAATACATTACTCAAAGGAATATCATTGACATGGTAAGTAGAAGCTGTAAAGGCTTTTTACATTTCTAGTAATAAGTATATTTTGATATCAAATGGCATGTAAATTCTAACCCTCCAGTTGTATAAACCAATGAAAAATGACAAATCAAACTCCACAGCAATCTGGATATTGAATTGAGTTGCAACTTTTTGCAGTAAAACAAATCAAACTCCACGGCAATCTGGATATTGAATTGAGTTGCAACTTTTTGCAGTAAAACAAATTAAGAAAAATAGAATAAAAAACAGGAGGCGATACCTTATCAAGAACTGACGACCAATCACAAGAGACATTGGAAAACTGAACCAAGGTTCTAATTATGCTAACGACTTTTCGGTGACCCGTACTTTTAAACATAGTAAAATTAATACTGCAATGTATGATTGATGAATATTAATTATTAATAATATGACAAGTACGGGTACATGTGAGCCAAGGGTCAATATAAATAAATAAGATATACAACTACGGAATGTATATATAAGTGTTACTGTAAATGACATATCTATACAACATAGTTTAACACAGGCAAAGACTACAAATATAAATATCAGTAAAACAAAGATTAAATTATTAATTAGTTATTTTATGTCTCAAACAGGCACATCAGTAACTTGTAATAGGTTACAGCATTTCTGATGTTTCGAGCACCCTATATGTTTATTCGGATGACTACATGAAATAAAGTATACTACCGTCTAATATTTTAATCAAACTTTTATTAGATCAAGACAGAATATAACAAGTATTGTCTTCACTTTCAGATTACATTGCATGCTTATCACTTATTTACAGAAATCAACGATGTTTAAATTTTACATCAAATCATTCATTATTCAAGCATTCTCCAGCAATGCCATGAATTACAATTACCGTACAACGAAAATAACTAAACAAGAAACAGTTTCCCATCTTTCACAAACACATATTGTAGCCGACACGGTTAATACACCTAGCATGAGCGATTAATGCAGTACGGCGTTCTCACTAGTTGCAAGTTGCGCCCGATAATTAAAACGATATGAATCCTGTAATCTTCACTGCATCTGAATGATGCGTGTTTCGGCTGACCATATATTTTTGTCTTTTGTGTTACTTTTCAATCTACCATTAATAGTTTACAATTCTGGTCCATATAATTTCTCGTGATAATATGCATTAATATAAACTTGTTGGTATATATGGCTAATCTTTTGTTAACTCTGCGTCCATATTCCGTCCAGATATTTCATGTTTAACAAGGTATACAGGCCAATATAACAACCTAAACTACCTTAAAATTTGACACATTTTGCCAGCCTACCTATTTTGAAATATGATGAACCTGAATACTTTGACTGTGACACTCACATTCAGTCTAGGACGTCAAATACACTTGCAACACCCTTTGTGAATGACCGCCGGTGCTGCCTCCACCAATGGAACTACAACATACTTAGACTCCTTTATGACGGTCAACGTGTTCTCATCTTTCTTACACTGACGAAACTATTACGTAATAGTTACACCGATGCTGACACCCATTTAAATACATGAAGGTTTAATCTCAGTCATTTTAAAACCCCTTTCGGTCATTGTAGCATTTTCACATCTGTTTTACGTAAGTTACACCAGCGTAATGGGACGAACAACAGATACGTTGCAGGAATTGTGTTTGCGTGCACAAAGTAGTGCTTACCATTCCACTGTTTGGTCTTAAAATGGTGTTTATGTCTATTCGACGATATTATGTGTATTTATGTATGTGAGTTTCAAGGAGCAAGACACGGTAGTACGTAATCGTATTCCAAGGTAATAGTCAATATAACCAGATGTTTCGGACAAAATACCCTTTATTATTATTATTGTTGACATTTCTATTAAAATGTTATCATTATTGCATTGGTTGCAAATAATAAGGATGGCCTTTATTCTTTACAAAAACCGAAAACAATTTATTACGTGTTTTATGTTTAA